AGAGAGAGAGAGAGAGAGAGAGAGAGAGAGAGAGAGAGAGATTATACGAGAGCGAAGGAGAGGCTAGAACGAGAAGAAGCGAGAGATTCCACGCGGAAACGCGTGCCACCGAGATAACGGATCTCCCCGATGATAATCCTCCTTGGTGCCGCACATATGGCCGAACCCCATGACTGTTAAACAGATCTCCACGCTCGCAGTTAAGAACGTGTTCCACATGTTATACGAATTTGTCATCGAATTCGTGTCAATCTGTACGCCTGTCTAACAAGTTAAAAAATCGCTATTTTTCTATTTTTTTTTTAAATAAATGAATCGTAAAAAATAACTAACATAAAGTAGAAAATTACTATCGACAGCATATATATATCGACAGCACAGTCCCGAGTATAAAAAATAAAATCCAACAGGAATGGCCTACTTAACTCGTGCTGGACAGTGCTATAACGTGATATAACGTGTCAATAATATTAAAGATTTCTTTATATGCATTTTGTATGCGTTTTAATATTTTGCACCTAATTACGAAGAAAAATTTTTCTGTCAATGAATCTTTTTTTTCGTCAAATGACGCTACTATTCTTTTTATTGGCCCTTATTGTTAAAAGCTACGTTTTAATGAACCGACATGCCACGTTAAAGTGACGTATTCACAGGAGATCATACTGAAATAGAATAGGATCAAGCCAAACACGTTCGTTTGGGTTCTCGAGTAGTTTGAATGGCAGCCACTCGAGAGGGGCCGAATGAGAGAAGCTTGAAAGCTCGCCGCCGCGGCTTCCGGTCAGCCAGCACATAATTTCGTTACTTTGCGCGAAATTGGATTAAGGGGTTCGTTAAGGGCGCATTAGAGCACGTTAACGTGTCACACGATGACCCCGAACTCCGAATTACATTGTACCGCTCGGTGAAATTTCAATGGGCGACCACCGGTAACCCTGCTGCGTGTTCCGAATATGTTGTGCGTTTCTCTGCGTTTCCCTATTTTTTTTCTACAGCCGTTTTCTTTAGATTTGCCATCGCGTGTCCGTCCAATTGCTTTCCCGCTGCAATTAAATTTATTTTAAACGAAATGTTATCACAATGTAAACCGATCATTAACTAATTTAGATTTTATCTTATCCAAAAAATATTAAATGCAATTTTTTAGAACCAGATATAATTTGTAAGACGTACTAAAATATGTATTTGACATCGAAACGTTTCAATATCACAACGCTAAAATTAACAAGAGTGTTCCTGAATATATTATTCAGTAATCTTGTATTATACACATATTATATAATATTATATTAATATAAATGAATTTCTCTCTTTATATATAAATATAATTCTACCTTTGATTATATTTTTCGACACAAAAAAGTTCTGTGCGTGATTAAATAATTATATTCAAAATTTTACTGTATTAATATTTTCATTATTATAAATTATCATTTCGAAAATGATCGTTCTACCGATGCGTCGAGTCTTCGTTTCTGGAGTACCTTTCGGAGTTCCCGATTCCGATCGACGCATCACAATGCCGCAGCACGCGGTCGTCGTCAATGAGGAAGGAGCCGCATTGCAAAAGAAGAAAGAACGTACATACCGGTTACAGTAACCAGGCTTGTCGTGCGTAGCTTCCACGCGCGGAAGGAAGCGCTGATTGCCGTATACAAGTTCGTCGCGCGTAATTCGTCCCAAGTCGCGTTGCTCCATGCCAACCGGATCGTCGCCGCGGGACGCACACGCCGGAGATGCTAGATAAATGCCGGACCGCGGGTGAGGCCTCTTAATTATAAAGCTCGCCGGCGATAATTGTCGTGTAGTTGAACCGACATTGTGACGGCATGTTTTCCCGCCACGCCTCTCTCGCTGTTCGTCGCAGCGGGCGAGCTCCCGTTTCTTGCGTGTCTGCGCCCGTGAGACTCCGGGCCTCTCCTTTTCCTCTCTTCCTTCTTTCCCCGTGTCCTCCAACTGCGCCGAGGCTCTGTACGGATATCGCGAGATAATCTTTCTATTGAAATACTGACATTTGCGTGGGAATCACAGACCGACTTGGTGGCTGTGAAAATTAGTCGTTACGAGAGAAGTTTGGAAAGGTCGAATAAAATAAAAATTATGATGAGTAAATTGTATAACAACTTAATTAAAACACACAGTTCTACTTTGCGATTAGAAACTATACATATAATTTTGAAAAATTAACTGCTCTTTTGACATTTTTTTTTTTAATTTCTTTGTTTTGAATGTATCTAGAATTCGTTTTATTCTTGAAGGACTATTCTTTACAATCACTTTTCAACCGCAAGGGACGAATCGCGCATTAGTTTCTCATCTTTCGACTCAATGCCAAACAATTTTAAAGTCATTCGTTTTCTTTCGGCATAAATAAATGTGAAAGGTAGAAAAAAGGAGAAAAACGGCACCTCTCACTTCTCGTAGGAAACTCGATAGCCAAAATATTGAATTTCCGCAGAAAGGAAAGAGGATGGACATCGTCGTTTCCCCCGAAAACGGCAAAGCGAGAAATCGAACAACAGAGGGTGGCTCTCGCGTCACCTTTTCTTCCATTCCCTTCGTAT